CGGGGTCCGAGCAACGCGGCCCAGGGCCCGGGAGAGCGCGCTGGGACGCGCGGGGGGTGGGGGTGAGAGGTCCCCTCAGCTCCCGGCCACCAGGCAAATTCGCTCGACCCCAGGGTGCGTTTCAGTCAGCTGCTGGCCAATTCCGTAGCAGAGCCCACCAGCTCGGCCGCCCTCGAGGCCCTCAGCCCCCACCCCCACGCCCAGGCTACTGGGGTTTGGGGAACAGAGCAGGGCTGCTCGGAAGAGGGGTTCCTAGTTCGTCTGGACTTGCAGTAGATGTAGACAGGCAGATTCCTGGGGCAAGAGGAAAATCAGAGGAACACTGCAGTAGAGTCTGCCCGGAGTTCAGGTCCCAGCTCCAACACTTAGGACACTTCCTGTTCTTCCTCTATAAAACAGGGACAGTACAGAAGGATAATCGCTTGTCTACCTCCTCCAGCTCCTGGCCCCGGGTAAGTACTCCATTCACAGTAGTTACTCTTCCATTAAACGGTATTAATTTGTTAAGGCTCTCCTATGTGGAGCCATGAATGAATTGGGGGGGGAGGGGAGTGGCTGAAGGCCCTGAAAGGGAGAGTGAGGCAGAGGTCCCAAAGGAAAGGAGAGACATACTGTGACTAAAAGATGAGGGGAAAAGGCAGGGGGGTACTTGCTTACTTGTGGCTCCCTTGTAAGTAAACACTTAATGTAAATGCAGTTGAATAAGCTCAAACGTGTGTACCAGCATGGATACATTTTTAAAATGTGTATGGCTCTTTGGATGTTATGAACCTGTGCCTGGGTGATCATTTATGCAGGTGTGTGTCTCTCTCTGTGTGTGTGTGTGTGTGTGTGTGTGTGTGTACACTTGTATATGTAACTATACCATGGGTCTGAATGAAGACCTGTGCATTTGTGTTTGCACAGGGATCTGTACTGTTGGTGTGTGTCTGTGTAAACATATGTATGTGCCCAAGCAATAACAATTACTAAATCCCTGCTCCCCACACCTTCTTTGGGGTCTGCAGTAAGGCAGCTGGGGCCACTGGCTGGCTCTGGAATGTACCCTTACCTTTCATTAAGGCCTGACATTCATAACAGGCCGTATCTGGGACAAAAACTAACTCCCTCCCTCCTATTCTAATGACCAGAGGGACCCATCCTACCATGAGAAGCCAGCCCTCCTCACCTCTGGAAGGAGTGCACTGACTCTCCTCCTATCTTTACGCACAGTAAAGGTGAGTGTGTTGTGATAGGTTTGTTTCAGGTTTGTGTCCATGAGGGTGGGTGTTCCAGGGTTGGGAGGAAATGCAGGTCTAATTCTGGTCTAGTGTGTCCAGGGTGTACAGGATGGTCTTCCAGTCCTCTCCCTATCCCACCTCCTTCCCATCAAGCAGTTAGACTCTGCTGGCAAAACTCAGGAGCAGTGGCTCTCACATGCTGAAAGTCTTCCCCCCAGCTACCACCCCCCCATCTATTCACAACCAGTGTCCTTCAGGTTGTCTACATTCAGTGCCTGTGCATCCTCCTTGGCACAGCTGCACACCCTGACCTCCGTGAGTAGACCAACGGCCCACTGCTAATCCCAGGCACAGCTTTTCCTGGGCCTACAGGGCTTTGAACACTCCCTCCCTCTACCACACCTTCCCCTGGCTTCCCCCTCCTGAGTGGCTGGCCTTCTCCATCTCTTCCAGGGGTGTTCTGCTACTGCCCAGCCCTGAGTATAGGCCCTCCTTCGGGCTCATTGGTGGACACTCTCCTCTTCTTTCAGTAACAGTGGCCCAGGGTCCGTGGGCTGATACCACCTCAGGATCTCAATCCTGGCTCTCTTCCCCATCCCAGGCTCACATCTGCCTGCTGGCATCTCTGCTCACTGCTCCAAAGGCTTCTCATGCTCAGAATGCCTGAAGGAACCCTAACCCTTCCCTGAATCTGTATCAGCACCTTCACCCAGCATGTCACCCAAAGGAAAGCACTGGCGTCATTCCCGACCCTGGGAGTCCCTGCACCAGAGCACTACCTTTGACATGCCTGCTTCTCCCCACCTGCTGCCACTCTGGGGCAGAGCTACAACACTAAAAGTGTTGCCCCAAAGTCTTCTAAGGGTTCCTCGGCCACCTTTCTAAGAGGACCATGTGCTCCTTGCTTCAGGCCCTTGCGCATCTCTCCTCCACTGCTGGAAAGCAGTCTGGACCCTGCACATGCTCTGTACTGACTGTCCATCTCCAGCCCCTCTGACTTTGTGCTTTCACCCTGACTGATGGTCCTGGGACTAGGTGGCCCATAGTTGACCAGCTCCTTAATTTGCTCTGCCTCCCTAAATGCCCTCATTCTCAGGTTCCTCTGGCCAAAGGCTGGGCTGACCCGGGATACCCCAAGCTCACATTCAAAGACTCAGACCAGAACCAGCTGCTCGACGCCATAAATGGGGATTAGACACCCCCCTTTGAGGCGGGCGGGTGGGCTGTGAGAAGAGTTGGTTTGGTATAGATTTTATGGCAGGATCACATTTCCTCATCAGACCCCCCTCTGAAGCCAGCCAAGGGCAGGTCAGGGGCAGGGGACTGGGAACCTGAGCTGCTCCATCAGCCCAGAGCACAGGGTTACTGGCACAGGAGGGAGCCTGGCTGGGAGTCAGGGGCCCTGATTTCCAGCCTCCTCTCTGCTGCCCACCTGCTGTGTGAACTGGGGCAAGTCCTTCCATTCTCTGGTCTGTGAAACAGGGGCTCTAGATTAAATGCGCTCTTAGGCTGGTTCCATTTTCAGGCCCTCTGGCCCTCTCCCAGTCCTAGCCATAACAAAACTGTTAAACTTCCCAGAAGACTTCTGAGCTTTCTTATGCTCACAAACTCATGAATTAGGGTGGCCATGTGTAATACAGGCTACCAAGTTAAATTTTAATTTCAGATAATTTTCACTATAAATATGTCCTAAGTTTTGTGTAGACTTATGTGTTTATATTAAAAACCATTCCTTGTTCATCTGAAATTCATATTTATTTGAATGCCCTGTATTTTTCATTTGTTGAATCTGGCGCCCTGATCTTATATACACTGGAGCTGGAGTTTACCGGACTGCAGCAACTCATGGACCTTCTCACTGGAGTTTACAAAACTGTAGCTTGTGGGCCTTCTATGCAAAGCAGGTCAGATGTTGACAGGTTAAGTGTCCTTGGGCAGAGATCTGTGATCAGATGCCAGTTGAGATTTTGTGGAAGGGTGTTCCAGGCAAAGAACACAGCATATTTAGAGGTCTAGAGACAGGCTGGTGTTGGACATGTTCCAAAACAGGCAGTGGGGGACCAGTGTGTGGGATGTAGGCTGTAAGTGGCAGGAAATGCAGATGGAAAGATTAGTTGGAGTCAGATCAGGCTGTATACAATCTGTGTTGCTGTTGCTATTAGGCAAGGGGGCCCAGAGGAAGGTCTGAGTTAAAGCAGAATCACAACCAGAGACCAAGGTACAGAGAGCAGAATCCAGCTGCCCAGAGATTAGGAGGAGGAAAACCTGCAGAAGGGACCTCCAAGGACCATTCAGGAAATTTGATCTCAGATCTGGTCTGTGCATGGAATAAACAATAAGTAGCAGTCAGTAAATGGTAGCTGTTGGGTTGCCGTTATGATCAGATGCTCAGTAAATGCTGTGATTTGGTACCAGCTGACCACATGCCCCAGACTGTGCATGGGATTAGAGCCACTTCTTGCCAGCTAGGAACCTAGATATTATGGAGCAACAACAGCTGGCAGATTCCCAAACTCTGCTCAGCTTTGCCACTCTCCCCTCCTCCTCTGTCTACTATCAATGAAAGGTGAACCACCAGGGAGAATATTATGGACAAAGGGCATTTCAGGGAGCCAGTAAAAACTATCTAAGGCAGAAGGGCCACTTTCTAAGAATCCCTGCAAGATGCACTTGAACAAATATTTCATGTCATTCTCACAACTCTAGAAAGTGGACATTGAAGCCCCATTTTAGAGATGTGAATATCAAGGCTTGGAGAGGAAAAGTCTTTTGCCTGAGGTTCTTAACCAATAGTAGAAGAGGCCAAGTTTAAATGTAAGAGTTCCTTTCCTTACATGAGACAGCATCTATGGATCAGAGCAACAAAAACCAGACCCAATTTCTGCTTCAGTCCACTGCAACCTATGTCTGTTGGGTCTATCTAGCCTCCTAGATCCCAAAGCTCCCTCCATCTGGTCAATGAAATCCATCCTTCCTCCAGATTACAAACATGCCAATTCCTGTGGCACTGTGAAAAAAACAACTGGAGATTTCTTCAGAAACCTTGGATCCAGTTCTTGGCTGCATGGTTTCAGCCTTTGGAACCTGTGCTTCCTCATCTGGAAAATGAGGATAACAATGCCTTCCTGCTAGTAATGTTGTGAAGATCCAATGTGATAAGTTACAGGAAAGAGCTTTTGTGACCCAAATCACAGACAAACATCATCCTACAATTTCAAAGCTTTTTCTAGTTCAAGTTTTTCAGAGTCATAGGCTTTTGGTCTAACAGATACATCTAGTTCATAGCTGATTTGCCCAACAGGAGTGATTGGTGACACTTGGTTAATTCATTTCTCAAACAGACTCTGTACTAAGCATTGGTGAATAAAGACCTAGTAGTAATTGTTCATGGGCAGAGAGTCAGTGGGGCAGACAGCAGTGATTCCGTCATGAGGTATAAGCAAGTACAAAAACAAATGTTACAGTTTCTCTCTAGGTACCCCTCCAAAGCCTCATGCACTCATAGGTTGAGGATTTTGGAATGTGATTGGATCATGAGCGTGTGATGATCATCAGTGGATTAGCCCACTAATGAATTTATAGCTAAATGTGGTATTGGGAAGTAGAACCTGATCGAAGTAGGTGGGTCACTAAGGGCATGGCACAGAAAGGTGTATCTCCCTCCCCTGCTCTAGCCTTTATCCCCTGGGCTTCCTGTCTGCCATTGCTGTGAGCAGGACTCCTTTGCCATGCCCCTGTACCGTGCTGGCCTGCCTTGGAGCCAACCCACTATAGACTGAAATCTCTACAAACTTTAAGCCAAAATAAACCTCTCCTCCTTGAAGTTATGAGGGTCAGATATTTTTCCCCAGCAACAAGAAAAATGACTGAGATAACAAGTGAGATGAATTGGAGAATTGGAGAAAGCTGCCCACACAGCTTTTTTCCAGATTTGCACAGGGTCTTAAATAATTTTTTATTCTTTTATTCAACAGATACTTATGGGCTTTTCTAAAATACTGGGCTGCATCAGTGAACAAATTAAATAATCCCTACCTTCAAGGAGCTTAGAGGAGAAAACAGAAAATGGAAAAAATAAGCAAATAAATTACAACTTAGTAATGTGTTCTATGACGTGTAAATACAGTATAATATAATGTCAGATGTTATGAAAAAATAAAGCAGGGTGAAGGGATGAAGACTGGTAAGAGTGAAGGGGTATTCTATATAGATTGATCAAGAAATGACTCTAAGAAGCAGACAGCTGAGCCCAGACCTGAATAGAGTGATAGAATGAGGATTGAATGATCATAAAATATAAACGATATGGATGATGAAAACAATGAAATTTCTAGGATATAGCTAAAGCTGTACTTAGAGTTTAAATATTCATAATGTTTATATTAAAAATAAAAAAGATTTGGGCTGGGGATTTAGCTCAGCGGTTCGTTGGCCTGCCTCGCAAGTGCAAGGACCCAAGTTCGATCCCCGGTACCAAAAAAGAAAAAAAAAAAAGATTTAAAATCAACAATCTAAGTTGTCATTTTAAGTATCTAAAAAAAAGGAGCAAAGTAGAAGGAATATACATTGGAAGTAATGGAATTAACTGAGATTGCAAATGAACATTAAAGAAAAAACAATGAAGCCAGAAGCTTGTTCTTTGATGAGATTAATAAAACTGATGAGTTTCTAGCTACACTGATTAAGAATAAATGAGAGAAGAAGATACAAACTGCCAATATCTTAAATAAATAAGATGTCACAGGGTCAGGGATTCAGCTCAGTGGCACCATGCCTGCATCACAAGCACAAGGTCCTGAGTTTGAACCCTGGTACCAAAAAAAAAAAAAAAAAAAGAAAGAAAGAAAAAAAATCACAATAGGCCATACAGTCACTAAAATGATATAAGGGAATATTACAAGCAAAGTTATGCTAATTAATTCAACAACTTATATAAAGTAAACAAGTTACTCAAAGGATGCAAACTGCCAATACTGACACAAGAAGTAATAAAAAAT